TAGTCTAGACCCGTCTCGACTTGTCCTTCGTGTACCCCGCTTGCCCGTGTACAGTAGTCCGATTGTGTTTGTCTCTGGCACCGCGCTGCAATACAATATCTTGGTTGGCTTCGATCGGAGTTGGCTGTCCTTTCGGTCCCGCGATAGAAGTGCCAGCCGAGTCACTCGAACCGGCTCCCGCAGAACCCCGACTGGCTCTACCACGTGGTAGAGGACGCTACCGTGAGTTTTTAACGACGCGTTCGCTTGTCCGAGCCTTGGTAGTGCGAAGTTTTCCTCCATGGCGCCTAACTCTCCTCTGCCCCTTCCTCGATCTCTCAGTGTCTCAATAGGCGATCCTGCTACCCCGTCGTCCTCTCAACGTCCTGCGACCCCGGTTGCTTCTCCGTGCAAGGTATGTGCATCTTCCAGGCTTCCTGTGCTTCGCTCACTGCTTCCCTTGACACCTAGGCGACTGACCCAAAGGACGCCGTCATGGGCGTCGTATATTCCGCTTGGGAGACATTGCGCGAGGCAGAGCCTCTGGATCCGTCCGTGGACTACGAGTTTCTTATCCGGGAGTTCCTAGCTGCATTGGTAAGTGAGCGCCCCGTTGACCTGGTCGATCGCTAATCTCGTTCCCTTCGCTAGCATGAACTCCGCGCGTTCGTGGACTCGGTGTCGCAGACGCGGTATACACGGTTTCGTCAAAAAGCTCAGGCTCATCTCGACGCCTTTGTACAACCATCGTGGCTCCCGTGGTGCGGAGAGTTAATCTCACCGGAGCGGGCTGCTGCCGTCTCCTCTGGCAAGGTGCGTTCGCTGTCCTGTGGTTCCACCGCCGTCTTCTAACTTTTCCTCGCCATCGTCTCTAGGAACCGAGCCCTCCCCCGGCGACGGAGGCCTCCGTGCACACGCCTTCCGAAACTGGGGAAGTCGCGGCTTCTGGCTCTCCAACCGCGTCTACCGGTTTCGACGACCCACTTCCCGTGGCCGCTTCATCGTCTTCTGCTGTGGTAGCATCGCCAGTTGCTGCGATGGCTGCGCAAGGTATCCCCATCCCTAAGTTCGAGTTCCAGGCTCGCGCGGCGAACCCAGTGGCAATTGACCCTCCCTCCGACTCCGACACTGCTGCTATGGAGGTTGACGTCCCGCTGGCCACCGTGGTCGCTAAACCCCCCTCCGCGCAAGGTTCCGAGGCCATTGAGGTCTCCAGCCATGACGAGGGTGACAGTGATAGCGACGAGGTCGAATACGTAGGGGGCAATATTCCGAACTTGTCTCCGGCCCACCCGAAGAAGGGTAAAGGGCGCGGTCGCAAACTCGCTAAGTCTTCCGGCGTGACCGCCACCTTCGACGACCAATACGTGCGCATGCCGGTTCGAACCTTCCGCGATCGCTCCCTCCCGCCAACGTACTTGCCGCTCTGGCAGAAGCCATCCATCGCGTGCTTGGTAAGTT